CATCCAGCAGTGAGTGCAGGACTCTGAGACACATCATCCAGCAGTGAGTGCAGGACTCTGAGACACATCATCCAGCAGTGAGTGCAGGACTCTGAGAGACATCATGCAGCAGTGATGATGTGAGCTTGTTTAAAATGTTAGTGTCTCAAATGTATTTAAGTTTAGAGATTTGAAATAGCTGAAAATTATAATCTTCATATGTTTTACCAGGATTTTATTAGTTTACAAAGTCATAATAACATTTAATGCTGTTTAGGTAACCTAGACAATGCTTGTGTTCCTATATTGAGTCACTTTGGTTGAGCCTGAGGTGAAATGAGACTCAATGTTTAAATGATGTTGTGGGTTCTTCTGTTACCTTCACTGAAAAAAATAATACAACCATTTTTGGCATTTACTTAATCCTATTTGGTAACTTTAACACAATTGTTTCATGTTACAAGGGTAGGACATAAAAAAAAAAATGTGTTAAAGTAACTTAATATGATTCCAAAAGCGGTTGCTTTATTTTTTTTTAAGTGTTTGTTTATGAGTCCCAAATATGCTTTTTGAGTAATTTTGCTTTGCCAGCCACTCCTGGAAGGTTCCGTTCTGTTCCATTGATCTCCATTGGTTGTTTGCTCTCACAGTGGTTCACTAAGCCCTCATTTCAGACAATTTTCATAACTTTAATCCACATCTTTTCGTTAATGTCTTCAGATCAGAGCCTAATAAGGTATGTTGCTTGTTGGGATCTTGTTAAACTGAAGCAAAAACTACCTGTTTGGTAAGAGTTATTTGACTGCTCAACCAGGGGAGCAGCTTTATTTCCTTATAGGGCCTTGTTGGTTTGGATTTTAAAAAGTTTTAAAATCCAAACTTTTTTGCAACTGCATTTTGTATTTACTTAGGTTACTTTTTTGGATAATTGAATTAGCTTGTAAAGTGTAAAACAAAAGAAACAACAAAAAAATCCTTTTTGGGCACAAATATTCTTTAAGAGGTTGTATCTGAATAAAACATTCCTGTTAAAGTAAAAGCAAAAATCTAAAAAAAAAAAAAAGAAATAACCAGGACACATTTGGGTTGCTAAGAAGAGTAAATCATTGGAGCTTTTCCCTTTTCATAGAAAATGACATTACATGTAGATTAGTAAATATGTTGTACATGTATGATACCGACAGTAATAAGAATAGGAAAACCAAGACAATAAACAGACGCAAGAGTAAACAAGCTTCCAATAAGTTATAAGAAGAGGTCATGATATCACTCTGAATTTTAAACAATGTGTAAGTCAAAGCTAGAACCAGCACTGAGGATTTTTCTAACCGTTTCTAAAAGAATCTCTAAGAGCAAACCTAGAAATGTCAGGTTGTGAGTCACAGATTTCTTTCTTTAAGCCTCCCCTGCATCATTCTCAGCTCTTAAGCTGCAAATCGTGTGAGTCAGACCCTGCTGCCGGCGTTTGTACTTTATGTCGCATTCCATGTTGCAAAATCCATAACTTTCCCAAGACAGGCTAACGGGGCTGTGTGCAGCCAGAACGTCACATAGATCTCATTCCCTCTGACCTCAGGCAGAAAACTGAAGCTACATAAAGCAGAAAATGTTCAAATGTGAGGCATCAAGGCTTTTGTCATGTAGACTAAGCTAAAGGTGACTTTCTGGTTTTTGTTCATTTACACAGGTTGTTTATTTTAACATATGGACACCGTTCTGTGTGAGTGAACAGGTGGGCAGTGCCTTGAGAAAATAGTTCCTAAACTTTTTTAAATTTTTTTATCTCAAAACCACAAACCACAGAGTGTTTTATTGGTAACACTGTGAGTCTTTGTGATACAGTCAATACGGGGGGAAAAAACAAATAAAATCTAAGGTTTGCGCTGGTATATGTGTTTCCTCCTGGGATCAGGTTTTCTTCCTGGATTTGTCTTTAGCTCCAACATCCAACCAACTCTGAGCAGCCTCCTATTTCCTGCCCATTGAGGGTATCACCTAGCATAAAAATCTTCCTGAAAATATCTTCCACCAATGTTTTTATGCTAGTGTTCCACCAAAAATAGGCCAAAGAATCCAAATTTGGTCTCATCGGCTTAAAGAACATACTTCATAAAGGTTCATTGTTGTACATTATTGTGTTAGTTTGGATTTACCAGTGGCCTTATTCACGCCACGCCTCCATCAAGGTCATTCCAAAAAAAAAGAAAAAACTTTGAAGACGTTTCACTTCCCATGTCAGAAATAGCGCTGTGTTCGTGGTTTTATAGAGTAGCCCAACAAAACCTTGTTTTTGTTTTGAAAACATGCAAATTGAAACAGGAACGGGTCCACCCCTTTGGAAAGGGGGTTGTTTGGCTTCTTTTGTTAGGCTGCAGTGCCCCATACCTGTCTATGTCTCTGAAAGGGGTGTCGTTGAAGAGAATTGTTGGCCTGGCTGAATAGGCGAGGTCTTCTGCTCTCCTGTACAGGGGCTGGGGCAGTGATGATAGTGGGAAGCGATTAACTCAATTGCTGGATTGTAGGTTTTTGAAAGCTGAAATCTGAGTCCACCCCCTCTGTTTAAGGTTGTTTTTTTCTTTCTTAACATATATGGCTTCCTTCATGCCCCTCTCAAACCACCTATTTTCTTTGTCCAAAATGTCAGCATTCTCGTCCTCAAAAGAATGCCCTTTATCCATTAGATGTAGATGTACCACAGAGTCTTGTCCATCAAGTCCATCAAGGTCAGATTTGTATTTTGCATGACCACAACTTGTTCTGTTGTAAGTTCTTCCACCTGATCTGCTAATTTCTGCATTTCCACAAGAGCCACCACAGCCCTTTATGTTGGTCTAATACATAAAATCCCCTAATAACACTGCGTTTTTCTTGTGACTAAAGGAGAATAGTTACATTTTAATTTTGCATGGCAGTATATAGTTTGTCAAATCTCTTCAGGCCTTGACAATTTTGGTTGTCTTAGATGAAATAAAAGGTTTTAAATAATTAATGGCATACACAGAGCTTTCTGTGCCATAATGTTTCCATTTCTAACTGTTCTACAGTACAGTGATCCATAAAGTTATTCAGCATGGGGCACTCTGCTGACTGGTGCTGCAGTCGGTATCCATGGTATAAACACACAGAAAATCCATTAAGTTGATGACATAACTGCCAGTTCACAAATGATTCGGCTCCTCCTTCAGAGGGCTTTATCGATGTGCTTTATTCTGTTTTTAAAATGTGTCTTTTTGTTTTGGCAGGTCGAATTGGTAGAAGGGATTTAAAAGACTCGTTATTGACTGAAATAGCCAAGAAAAGGAGGGACATCCAGCTGCGGTTTGCAAAATCCTCGTCCTCAGCCCCGTTTTTATGAACATTTCAGTTTGCTTTGTTCTCCTGGCCACCCAGGAGAGCCGGTGCAGGATTAAATATCTACACTCCATCAACGGTGAGCACTGGAGCGCCCCTTAAATCTCTTCCCAGGGCATTACAGCGGAGTAAACTTTCCCAAGTAATTTCCTTATCTGCGCGCTGAGGAAGCACTCCGATAAACTCAGCACAATTCATGTTTCTCCAAGGAGTCTGAGCAGAAGAGAACGTGCCGGCACCACCTCAACGGTTTTCACAGCAACATCAGGAAACTTGGGAGGTGAAACTCTGGCTTTGGACACAGGATGGGGAACAAAAACACCATTCCACCCAGGAGTCCTGAAGGTGGGATTACTCAAAAAGAAGATGCATCGCTGATCAACAGTGCTACAGGTAAAATACGGCTTTTCTTTCATAAAGAAATGTTCTATAAAACATGCTAGGGGGCAATTATGTTGAGCACTTAGAATAAATATGTCAGAAAAGCTTAAGACTGTAATTTATTTTTAGAGCCTAAAATGCCAGAGTTCATCATGGGACAATGAAACCACAGCTTTATATTAGCCAGCAACAAGATACAGACATGTTGACCCTCAGCATCATGCTTCCTCCACCATGTGTGGAGAATATCTGCCTTCCCCAGAAATTTTATTTGACTTGACTGACCTTCAACCATTCTCCAGAAGGGATTTGTCTTATATACGTAAATTTCAATATAGATGATTTTCTTGATTTAGCACCTGTGGTTTTTGTCTTAGTCGGCACATTTTTAGTACATGTAGATGTTAAAATTGCTGTCGCTGTAAACGGTGATTGCGATGTTTCTGCTTCCTCATTTTCCTAGACTTGATCATCGGGGAGGCTCAGACTGCCCTTTATCAGCCTAATCAATTCCCTTTCATCTTTAGTTGCACAGACGATTAAACCTTAGACACAGTCTGGTCTTTCAAAAGGAAGATGGTCCCTCACAACAAAACATCTAAGCTGGATTTCAAAGGGGACATGACATACGGATTAAATGCAACCGCATGCTTTTGAACCAGTTACTATAATCTCAGCATTTCAAATAGACCTAATTTATGGAAAATTGACTCATTATGCAGACCAATAAGCTGCAGGGCCTTATTAAAAATTACAGTTTTAGAAATTGATCTACAACACGTGTTTTTAAACAATTTGTTTTCATTATTAGTGCTTAAAATTTACCAAAATACTGTAAAATCACTGTACAGTACTTTGCCTTGAGCTGCTTTACATTGTGTCAATAGAAAATCCATGTTAGAAAAGTAATTAAATAATTTTCTTTACAACAATTGCTTTTTTGACTCTCCCTGTGTTTCAATTTCTTCTAAATATAAAAAAATCACTTACTTTTACAGTCTAATGAGCTTTTATCTAATTGATTCATAATTCAATCTTTTATTATGGTATGAAATTATATGATCCGTTATTCATTCATCATTATTATTTTTCTTGTATTTTAAATTACCATTAACTTAATTTTTGCGTAATGTAAAGAAATACATTTAGTTGAAATTGTTTTCCCCTCAAATTATACTTATTACTAATTTTACTAACATTCCTTACTTAATTGCCGAGTGAAGCTAAAAACCTTCAAATGCAAAATCCGGACTTACTCTCCGAATCTTTGTCAGATGTTATCAATTCTTTAATTTCAGTTTTAAAATACTTATTTTGTATAACTTTACTCAGATTTAGATAATTTACTGAGTTTTTGAGCAACATTCTGTAAAATCTCACACTGCTTCTTTGCTCTTATATTAATTACCAGTATATTTGTTATTTAACTCACACTAAAAAAAGTCTCTGATAACAAGTTTATCTCTTAGTTCCACTTTACAACAGAATTGGAAACCTGAAGCACACGTCTTAGAAGAAACTAACTAGCTGAACAAATGAGCAGATGTTAGAAAACAGCTTTTAACAGCTCATTACACCTGAGTTGATTCTACGGTTAAATCACAGTTTGCTTTATCTCTATTATTGCTAGAGTGTTTCACAGCGAGTCAAATGGGGGGAATTAAGGTCACCAAGATGTCTCATGGACTTATTAGGGAGCATTAGCAGCTCCCTAACAAGTGGTAAATCTAGAGTTATGGGTCTGGGGTAGCGCTATCCCCTTTCAGAATATATTTTTATTCTGCAACCTGGGCGTTTTTTTGGTAAACTGTAAACTGTGGTCTCAGGAAATAGGGGGTCAAAGTTGACCAACTCCTGTTTGGTAAAACGAGGACATTTTTGGGGCTGGTGCACAGAGAATGAACTCGTTGCAGAAAACAGAAAGGGGCAGAGACTGACCATATAGAAGACCCGTACTATATTTGAAATCTTTGCACTTCGGATCACCTGATCGTGCAGTTAAATTGATTAAAAGTTTTCTATCTAAGGAAAACCAGTTGATTGCAT